TATTTTTATAAAAAAATAACCAAAATTGTCAAAATGTGGTGCGGCTATAACTATTTCCACCGCTGTACGTTAGTATTTGGCCGAGTTTCCCCGCCGATTTGTGGCGTGCGCCTTGATGTTGTCACACAATGGGGAGGGTCCTATCCCATCACAGCGATTATGTGGCCGAAAAACCACAAAGCTTCTGGAGCTGACGGCCTGCCAGTCGAGATATTCAAGTACGGCGGCGAGTAGCTGATAACTCTTATGCGGAATATGGTAAGATGAACGCATGCGCGACGACTAGAATTTAAGTGTGCTTTTGCCCAACCCACAAGAAAGGCGACCCTGCCATACACGCCGACTACTGTGGGTTTAGACCTGGAAAATCCACCATAGACCAGGTATTCACAATACGGAAAATCTTGGAAAAGACCCGCGAGAATAAGGTCGACACACGCCATCTATTTGTTGATTTCAAAGCCGCTTTCGACAGCACGAAAATAAGTTGTCTTTATGCCTCGTTGTCTGAATTTGGCGTCCCCGCGGCTATGTAAAATTACGTTGAGCAATATCAGCTCCATCATAAATGGGAAGGATCCTTCCGAGCCGTTTGATACCAAACGAGATTTCAGACAAGGTGACTCCCTTTCGTGTGATTTCTTGAATGATGTTTGAGAAGATAATAAGAGCCATGGAACTGAACCGCTCAGGCACAATACTTTACAAGAGCGTACAATTTCTGGCGTATGCCGACGACATCAACATTATCGGTGATCAAAACAAGGGCTACGTCTGTTCTGCCTTCTCGGGATTATGTAGAGAAGCAAAGGGAATTGGTATAGTGGCGAACGAGAACAAAACGAAGTATCTGCTGTCAGCATAAGCATCTTGGCACCCACAATACCGTTGAAAGTTACAAGTTTGAAAAAGTAGACGACTTCGTTTGTTTGGGGACCAGAATAAACACCAATAATAATGTCAGCCTTGAAATCCAACGGAGAATCACTCTTGCCAACAAGTGCTTCTTTGGACTGAGTAGGCAATTGAGAAGTTAAGTCACTAATCTTGCCTGTCCTGGAGTATGGCGTGGAGGCATGGGCAATGAAAATATCTGATGAAGCAGCTCTTGGAGTTTTCGAGAGATCGATTCTGTGAAAGATTAACCGACCCTTACGCGTTGGAGATGCGAATATCGCAGACGATCTTATGATGAGCTGGGAGCAGGTTTACACCATATAGACATTGTGCAGCGATTCAAAATTTGGCGGCTTCGCTGGCTAGGTCATGTCGTTCGAATGGAGAGAAACGCTCCTGCTCAATGCGGGTCGCAATGCTGGAAACAGAGGAAGCAGAAGGCCTCCTCAGTGTTGGCAAGACCAGGTGAAGACGGACTTGGCTTCACTTGGCATTTCCAATCGGCGTCAGTCGGTACAGAAGGGAGACGGCTGGCGTGCTGTTTTGGATTCGGCCAAAATTGTTTAGACGATTACAGCGCCAATAAGGAAGAAGGGGAAGATATCAAAAATAAAGATTTCATTAAGAAAGTTTGTATACATACATACATACATAAAAGAAAAATTAAAACACAAGTCGG